TGTGTATGTTGGGGGTAGGGGTGCTGTGTGTGTGTGTTTGGGGTAGGGGTGCTGTGTGTGTTGGGGTGGTTAAAAAAAAAAAAAAGTTATGCAAAATCTGTATCCCCCGTCCCTCCTGCTTACCTTTAATAAAGGGGGGAGGGAGGGGGAGGGAGGGTTACAGCCATCCCTGGGTGCTCCACACAGCTTGCTCACGGGAGGACAGGGGAGCTGCTTCACAGAAGCAGAGTAGGCGCCTGCCGTTTTGGGCAGGCAGGTGCCTACTCTGCATTGATGGCGAACCTATGGCCGCGTGCCCACAGAAAGGACCCGGCGTGCCACCTTTGGCACGCGTGCCATAGGTTCACCATCATTGCACTAGAGGCATAGGCAATAGAGAGTCCAGAAGTAAATACCTCACACCTCCCATCCACTACATAAATGTATCAAAATGATTAAAAAAAAAAAAATAAATGTAAAAAAATGGCAATACATACACACACACACACACACACACGTTCGAATATTCAGCACTGGAAAAGCCTTTAATAAGATTCACAAATACACTATATCTCTTGCTCAGGGAGAATCTCTGCATGAAGTTGTAGGTTTCTGTACAAGAATATTTGCATTGTTTAGACAGATTTAGCATTTAACTGTGATGATTCAGCCTTATTTAAATAAAGAAATATATATTCCAGTTGTAAGATTTGCAAATAGCGATCATGTGAAATGATATTTGTTCGTGATAAAGACTGTGCATCAACTATTGCTATAAATAAAATAAAGTGATGAAGAATAGGTTTCTAGCAGACATTCTAAAAGTAGAAGACAAAATGTGTGGCAATTGTAACCATTAAAATCGACTAGATCTTAAATCAACACTCCAAACCTGTCATCTTCCTGATGACATCCTAAACCATGGATGCGAACAATAAAAAAAATAAAAAAATAAATAAATTAAAAAGTGGCTTTTTTAGTTGACTAATGTTTTGAGGTCAGACGTGACTCACCCTCTGGTTATATGTTTTTACCCTCTACTTTACATTAACAGTGTCCATGCGTTCAGGTAATACATTGATACAGCTAGCAATATAAAGCGCGATATGCAACTTCACATGGATTTTAATGAAACCATTAAAATATTCAAAGTGCAAATTTTTACAGTTTGTTGTTGTTTTTTTCCCCCCCAAGATATTTAAAGAGAGCAGATAGTCCAGGAGAGGAAGCTTTATGGGACAATAGAAAGGAAGAACAATAAGGAGGGGTGTGAAGGCAGTTCACGTAGGGTGGGTTAAAGGGGAGTTGGGGGAGTTGGGGAATGAGGAGGGAGGAAAAATTGGCAAAAATAAGACATACACTGGGTTCCAGAGGGATTGAGGCCCTGCTCAGTGAGTTTACATGCTAGGGGGAGTGGGGTATATTGACACAGTAACAGAGGGATTGAGGGTCCTGCTCAGTGAGTTTACATATTAGAGGGAGTGGGGTATAGTGACACAGTAACAGAGGGATTGAGGGCCCTGCTCAGTGAGTTTACATGTTAGAGGGAGTGGGGTATAGTGACACAGTAACAGAGGGATTGAGGGCCTGCTCAGTGAGTTTACATGTTAGGGGGAGTGGGGTATAGTGACACAGTAACAGAGGGATTGAGGGCCCTGCTCAGTGAGTTTACATGTTAGAGGGAGTGGGGTATAGTGACACAGTTACAGAGGGATTGAGGGCCCTGCTCAGTGAGTTTACATGTTAGAGGGAGTGGGGTATAGTGACACAGTAACAGAGGGATTGAGTCCCTGCTCAGTGAGTTTACATGTTAGAGGGAGTGGGGTATAGTGGCACAGTAACAGAGGGATTGAGGGCCCTGCTCAGTGAGCTTACATGTTAGAGGGAGTGGGGTATAGTGACACAGTAACAGAAGGATTGAAGGCCATCATAGGCGTGCACAGCCTATTGCATTAGGGTGTGCACCCTAAAGCACAAACACATGACGTGTGTGTGTACACTGCTGTATGTGTGTGTGTGAGTGAGGGTGCTGTTAGGGTCCTGTGTGTGTATGTGTTTGTTAGGGTGCTGTGTGTTTGTCTGGGTGTGGGTGTGTGGGTGAATGTGGGGGTACATTACTTAATATCCCCCCTCCCTTCTTACCTTATGTAGGGGGGGGGGGATCGTGCTGCTGCTTTCCCTAGTGGTCCAGAGGAGAGTGAACTCTAGCCCCTGTGGGGCTAGAGCTCACTCTCGCGAGATCTGCGCGTTGCTGCGACGCTCCGACATCCCGAGAGGAACCCGGCGGAGCTGCTGGTTGAGCTCCCCGGGTCCTCTCCTGCCTCCCTCCATGCTGCCGTGGGGATCCTGAGATCTCCCCTGCCGGTCTTAATAAATAGGCGTCCCGCAAGGATTAGGGTGTGCCCAGGCACACCCGGCACACGCCTATGAAGGCCATGCTCAGTGAGCTTACATGTTAGAGGGAGTTGGTATAGTGACACAGTAACAGAGGGATTGAGGGCCTGCTCAGTAAGTTTACATGTTAGAGGGAGTGGGGTATAGTGACACAGTAACAGAGGGATTGAGGGCCCTGCTCAGTGAGCTTGCATGTTAGAGGGAGTGGGGTATAGTGACACAGTAACAGAGGGATGGAGGGCCCTGCTCAGTGAGTTTACATGCTAGGGGGAGTGGGGTATAGTGACACAGTAACAGAGGGATGGAGGGCCCTGTTCAATGAGCTTACATGCTAGGGGGAGTGGGGTATAGTGACACAGTA